CCCTTCCCTCCAGCTGTGACTGCCCCACACAGCTTGGTGTCATCAGTGAGATTGCTGAGGGTGCATGCACTCAATCCCACTGTCCATGTTGCTGACAAAGATGTTGAACAGTCTTGGTCCCAGCACTGAGGGACACCACTCCTCATTGGCCTCCATGTGGACAATGAACCGCTGACCACAACTCTGTGTGTGACCATCCAGCCAGTTCTATATCCACTGAGTGGTCCACCCATCAAATCCATGTCTCTCCAATTTAAGAGACAAGAATGTTGTATGGGAGAGTGTCAAACACCACCCTGCATAAGTCCAGGTAGGTATCAGTTGTTCTGCCCGTATCTACAAATTCTACAGCCCCATCATAGAAGGCCACCAAATTCATCAGGCATGACTTGACCCTGGTAAAGTCATGTTCCTTATTAGCAATCACCTCATTACTTTTCATGTGCTTAAGCATAGCTTCCAGGAGAATCTGCCCCATGAGCTTGCCAGGCACAGAGGTGAGACTGACTGGTCTATAGTTCCCCAGATCTTCTGCTTTCCCTTTTTCGTAAATGAGGGCTATGTTTCCCTTTTTCCAGTTGTCAGGGACTTCACCTGACTGCCTGGATTTCTGGAAAATTAGAGATAGTGGCTGAGCAACTTCATCAGCCAGTTCCCTCCAGACCCAAGGATGAATCTCATCAGGACCCATGGACTTATGCACATTCAGGTCTCGAACCTGACCCTCTTCTACAGTGCGTTTAGGGGTTTCATCCTCCCAGTCTCCACTTTTACCCTTTTCAGTCTGCTCAGAATGGCTAGAGCACTTGGAGTTGAAGACTGTGGAAAAGAAATCATTAAGAACATCACCTTTTTCAATATCCAGGGTAGCCAGTTCTCCCATTTCCTTCCTGAGAGGGCCCACATTATCTCCAGCCTTCCTCTTACACGCAGCATACCTGTAGAAGCCCTTCTTGCTATCCTTAATGTCCCTGGCTACCCTCAATTCCAACTGTGCCTTAGCTTTCCTGACTGTCTCTCCAGCTTTTCTTACAGATTCTCTGTATTTTCCCCAGCCCATTTGCCCTCCCACCTCCTAAAGGCCTCTTTTTCCTTTGAGCTTCCTCAGCACTTTGTTATTCATTCATTATTCATCTTAATGGTCACAGAGGTAAAACCACAGGGTGCTCCATGGTGTGTACCCTCTCTCTCAAGCAAGGGGATGCTTGCTCCTAATAGCAGAGACTTTAGTCTGCACTGGCAGGGCACAGGACATTTCCTCTTTAAGTTGCTGGTGGTCCTCTTTGAATTGCTGGTGGTCCTTAGTCCAATTCTCCACAGCTGAGACACAGGCCCATAGGAAGGAAAGAGAGACATCTTCATATTGCCTGAGCTGGATAATCAAATCATCCAGCATATGTTCTCCTCTCCATGCCAGTGAGTTGGCATATGTTGATGGTGCACTCCGTAGAAACTTGCACCACATGTATCATGTGCACAGCACATCATCTGGATTTATAGGGGTCTCCTCTCTCTGAATCCCTACTGTGTACCTCCAGCACAGCTGATTCTCAAAGGTACTGAACACCTTTTTCTATGGTGTTCCACTTGCCTAAGTGCCCTGATAGACCATCCTTGACAAGGTACCTTCCCCTCACACCTGACAGGAATCACATCCAGAGGCTGAGAACGTGTCTTTTTCCCAATCTCCCTGTCAATGCTCACATCCCCGGACAGGGATCCCAGCTGCTGGGCTTCACTGCCCTCTAATTTCCAATTTTAGGCCCTTCTACCAAAGCACCAGAGCAGCCAAGCCACTCTCCCGGCCGGCAGGTGTAATCTTTTCTCATCTCACAGCTCACCCGGGGATAGGGATCCAGTAACTATCTTGGGTCCTGCTTCTTCCTCCTGTCCTCAAGGCCCTAATTCCTCTTCATCCCTCACTACACAAACTGATTTTGTCTTGGATTTATTCTTCTGTATAGGGGTAACTGCTACTGGCACAGGTTGTTTCTCTGGTTCAGCTGCAGTCTGAGTGACCACAGTGCCTGTTGCTCTGCCTTCCTCCTCTCCCCCCTGAAGATGCCCTACAGTAACAAGGAGTTTCCAATAAATAGCAGCCAGGGCCCAGCACACTGCATTACTTTGCACCTCTCTGGAACTGCCCCAGCATTTTCCTTTAAAATATTGAACTACTTTACCAGGGTCCTACCAGGGTTCAGGAGTGAACTCCCAAACCACTGGAGGAGAGAAGTACTCCAAATACTGGCCCATATCCTCCCACCTCCCATGCCACTCATGACTATCCACCCTTGGGGTATATCTCTGAATGATCCTCTTAAAAATGTTTTCCTAACCCTAAGCATGGTTCTGACTACACTGAGGAGACCTAGCAGCCCTAGCACCAAGTACACACTTTCCTTAATGGCCAAAGGAAATACAAAATTCTCAAGAGCTGTTGTAACAAGCCTGAAGGAGGAAAAGGGGGTAAAAAGCTGGGGAAAATCATCCTGCCCTGCTCTTCCCATGGACTGGGTATGGTTATCAATGAATCCCCAGAGGTGGCACCCAAAGTAAGAGCAGGAAGGCAACACTGAACACACAGATCAAATGACCCTCATTGCACCTGATGTTATCATGTCCAATGCTGATATCACACAGTACAGCAACAAAACAATCCTGATCTTCCTCCCTGCTTTGAAATTAAACATTGCAAGGAGTGCATATTTCAAACATGGGAGTGCATACAGGATGAGCTACCACAACCAGGTGAACAGACAAAACATTGACACCAGTGGTTCTGGACATAATGCAGCAAATGTTGATAGCAAATTCCTTTCCAACCCAGTCTGGTCAAATCTGTTGTTATCTCAACCCTTCGAGCCCCACTTTGGGTACCAAATAAGGCTGTCATGGTTTAGGAGTGGTATTCTTCAAATTAGTGTTTCCACTGAAACCCTCCCGACCATGCATTCCTCCCCCCTGCGACAGGATGGAGAGAACTGGAAGCACAAAAGGTAAAGATCAGGGGTTGAGATAAGAACAGCTTACTAAGAAACAGCAACGAAGTAAGAAAATGAACAGTAACAACTGTATTAACAGAGTGTACAAGAGGCAAACGCACAGCACACTGAACCCAGCCCAGCCGAAGGTACGTGCCCCGTCCCCTTTGCATGATGTGAGGTGGCATGGAATAACCCCAGGGTCATAGTGTGTCCTTCCTGGCTGCTGAAAGTTTTGGCTAGAACCAGGATACCAGGCCAGAGAGTACTTCAGGAGTTCTACCTATACTCTATTCGAGATTCACTTCTGATAGACAACCAAAAGGGCCAACAGCCACCTTAAACATGTTGCAGAATGGAAGGAGACTGCAGGAAAAGGAAGGCCATTGTCAGAGCTCAGAATACAGCTCTGAGGGAGCTAACACTGGAATTGCTCTAGAAAGTACTGGAAAAAAGTTTCATAAGTAAAATCCAGTCAGTATTCAGGAGTCAAAATAGATTTGAGGTTTTCAGTACATACATTACAATGAGTGCTAATGGACTACAAATCTGTTGAGAACACAAAAGAAAAAGGCAAAAAACCCTAGCAGATCCAAGAAATAAATTAGTTTTAAAGTACCTAAAATGTATTTGAAGCTGAGAAAATAAACAGATGCATCAGAACAGCTTAAAGCAAAACTGGCAGAAGTTTGCAAGAAATCAAGCACAGGCTGTCTGCACAGTGATACACATAAGCTGTAACTTCCCAGCTAACCATCACCAGGATCTGCTAATGAGGTTATCAATCCCTCCTCCACTGCAAGCACGCACAGCAGCCCGCACGGCACTTTGAAGGCAGGCATCTCAGCCAAGATAAGCTGCTATTTCCCTGCTTGGACAAACCCACAGATTTGTCACTGTTGCTTGAGACAAAATATAATCAGATCATCTTTGTGAAAGCCAAAGACAAGTTTTCCCTGCTACACTTGGACCTGCTGCTATCATTCGAATCAGATTAAGGGTTAAGAATTTCTGAACGCAACTCATTAATGCAAAGACTTTTACTCCATTTTGTGTATCTTCATCTTTCAACTTAAGCACTTTTACAATACACAGAGACGAACAAAGCCTTTATTTCAAGTGACAATCAGCCCTGTCCTCCCACTTTGCAATTCAATGGGTTTCAACCAGTCAACACAGTCAGATGCCTCCCATGCCCAGCCCCAGGGGACAGGCGCTTCAGCACTCCCAGCTCCGGCAGCCCAGCTCCATTGTGTCACAGCATTACTGCTAATTTTAGTTTGTTATGCAGAAATATTCCACTACCTTATGCCATACCAAGAGTTTTTAACATCACAACAGCATCTGGGCACCTTGCAAGTCAGCTCTAATAGTTAATTCAACACATTCTCTGAACAAAGAAGTTAAAATCTTTCCCAGAGGATATTCCTGAGGTACTTAAAACCACCTATGCACATGTTCTAAGTTCTAGGAATATTCTACATTCTCAGGATGCCCAGTATCAAGTGTCGGTATCAGCTGTGAAGTTTTCCAGGCCTTTTCTGCTGGATCCAAAAGGGCAAACTAGAATTACAGGGACAGTATTATCCGCATGAAAATCAACCACTTCAGAGTGCAGCCAACGCTTTTTAGCCAGCGTACTGAGCTAGTAATTTTGTTGCTTCTTTAAAAACGTGTAGATAAAGAGGACCCCAGTGTGGAGTAAAAACATTACTCTCCGCCACCAACTTAAATTTAGTAAAGAATTACAAACAAACACTAAATATGTTAGCAGACCTTCACCTACATTGTTTTCCAGAAGCTCTGAATAAACATAATAACTATCCAGAAATATAGAGTACATGACAGGAACACCAGCTAAAATTCCCCGGCACATTATGCTTAAGGTCTATTCAGAATTTTACCGTTTGTGTGAACACTGGATATTTCCAACTGAGACTCAGCTAACTTACGTGAATTCAGGGGCAGATACTGGTCTGTGCTTCACTGTTCCCTTACCCACAGACTAGAGTTCTTCAGCTATGAAAGGTACTTACGTTTTCTGTCATCACCACAGGCAACTTCAGCAAGGTATCGGAAGTAGTCTCCCTTCATCTTCAGGTAGAAGACCTTGCTCTCTGGGTTAGTTGCATTAGCTATTAAATATTTGTCCAACAGCTCCTGAAACAACCACCAAAAAAACCAGACATTGACATAATTGCATACACCACTGCAACTAAGTTCAATCTATTTTTCCTCTCTCCAGAGAGTTTGGACAGACTCCAATGTTTCCTACATGGCAAAAAGGAAACATTGCCATGTAGGAAAATGTTTCCTACATGGCAAAAAGGGCATTTCAGATAGATGCATGCTTACTTCAACAAACTGTGTAAAGGCACAAAGCTAGAAATGACATGAACAGTCAGACTGATCAGACTGCAGAAAACGTAACAAAAGGTTTACTGGTGCAGTTTCTGGGCCAAGTTTAGTTTCAGGACATGCACTTCTCATTTCTAAAACACTGCAAATGAGTAAGCTTTTACTGGAAAAATGAAACACTATGCAGAAAGTTTCAAAGCTATTTATAAATAAGACCTTATTTCCACTTCACGGGAAAAAGAAAAACAACTCTTTCTTGCATAAATTGTGTTTATTACACTTGTGCTAAGCAATCTCCAGCCCACCTACCACAGATAGCCAAGGATTCAAACCCATCCAGTCAGCAGCCAAACCAGAATGCACCAGCTCTTTGCCAGGCTGTACAGTAACACCTGCTCTAGCACAGCAGGGAGGCACATCCTTCATATGGGCCCTGCTGCTCCCGCTCCCGGGAATGGAAGAGCTGTACAGCGCCCTCCAGCACACCCCCAGCTGCTGCCAGCATCACTCCTCTTGCTCACAGCTGCCCTACCTGATAACCTGGACAAGGAGAGGTTTAAACCTCCAGCAAGAGAACGTAAATCTCCCTTCAAGGCTGCAAGGCCTCCTAGTCCTTCGAAGACGGGGGTGAAGGCAAAGGAGAGAAGAGGTAAAGGATTCTCCCCCAGCAAAGGGAGAACTTCAGCGAACTGACAAGGCAGAGAGCAGCTTCTGGCTGACCTCAACCCTGAACCCTAGAGATTTTACCCAGTTCATTACCACAACCACCCACATTCTCCAGAGTTGACAAAAGATTTAAGTTCCAGTAGACTCAAGGAAACCCTGCAATACTCAGAGCAACTTCACGCTAGGAACTGAAGTGATAAAGATCCGCATTCACTTATTTGGAAAATAAAGAGGTCATGAAAGGAGTAGAAAGTTTCCACAAAGCTTGCAACTGGCTAGTTAAGTAAGATTTTTGTTGCAGGAATGTGTATCCAAATTTATGAAGCAGCTACAAGGAAAATGTTTAAGGAACTGTAAGCTTTCAGCACAAAAATCCACAGCACTTTCCTTGGCTACTATAGCAGTACAATCACAAAATGAGCTTATTGCAGACCCAAACCTACTTCCTATGCACACCACCATGCCATTATTGCTTCCTTTAATAACCAGTGGCAGCAGAGCAATCCAGCTGAGAGCGTTTACTCATTCCCAGTCCTCTTGAGGTGCTGGTGATTATTTTAAACAGACACTTGTAGTAGGGTACGTCCAATTGGGTGATAAAAGCAATTTTGCATCCCCACAGCATGGGACCCATTGATGTAATATTGAACATAGTGCCCAGACAAGCTCCTCCAGAGCTCTCCCATCAAGGCACTAGGAAACAGTAAAAAGCTACAAGTGCTCTTGACACCACCCCAGAGAAAACAGGAGGGTTAAGATGACACTGAGCCTGATATACTCTGGCACTTACCACATCAGAGACATTTTTAGCAGTTTCTGTAAGGCTATAAAACCAGTGCTAAAGCCTAGACACTGGCTAGTTTGGCAAAGGGCTAAGTGAGGAATTTGTATAGCAGTTTAACACAGTGGAGTATGCAAGGGCTTGAGCAAGCATATGGAACAGTGTATCTCACTGGTGTTATGGAAAAAGCAAAACCATAGGTATGTTTCAAAACCAGAGTTAAGAGGTAGTAGGCAGACAGGTACCACAACCCCACATTAACACTGTTATTGTGCATGAGTCATTCCACATCAGAATGAGTTACTCCCACCCTACAGGTTTCTGCAATGAAAAAACTCCACATTTTGACTGTGTGTTTTCTCCTGTGACAATGTCCACACCAGCCACAAAAGCTCAACCCTACAAAAACCAGTTTCAGTCTCAGACACAACAATGCAGTAACCTCAAGTCTAATACAGAAGTTAGATTTTACAAGAAACTTCCCAGAATGATAAACGTGACACAGTACACCTAGGTTTAGAGATGTTCCTCAGATCCATCATGCTCCAACAGTAACCAGCAGCCTCTACAGGCCAGGAAAGTGTTAGACAGAAGAGAAGGGATTTATCCACGTGCTCAGATTGGCTGTGAAAAACTATGCCACAGTTTAAGGAGCACTGACCAGACAAGAAAGACATGCTGTGTGGCATTTTAAACCAGTCACTGGACAAAAACTTAACTTTGATTCTTCATTTAAATGCTGAAATAAAGCTTTTCAAGATGTTACAACTACATTGAGAAGGGAACAAATAGTCATTTTCCTTTTATGCAAGCTTAGTACACAAAAATATTACTGATCTTATTAGAAAATTCTGTCTTTGGAGGTAGCTCTAGCACTAGACTACTGTGCATAACTCATCTGGCTTGGTTATGACTTAAAAGCACTAACTCTGGAATCGAAATACCATTTACAGGAAAGCCTTAGCATGTCCAATTCAAGCTGAATCTGAAACCTACACTCCCTAGAGCATTCATGCCAACTTTCCCCCACGCCACTCTGCCCCAAGATGGGGTAGGCTACACACTTCTTCCAGGAACACCAAGGGACTCTGCCATGGCTCCATCCCTATCAACATGCAAGCAGCACTGTGGCCTGTGAGTGCATCCTGAAAGTGTTGCCTTCACTATGCAGGTCTGAAAACCAGTGGTTCCATGCAGATTTTGGAGAAACTCAAAGAAAAAAAGTGGATGCTGAGAGTGAACTGTGGTTTTGCAGACGGTAAAGATTATGTTATTTCCTAGGCACTCCTCAGGTGGAAGAGCTGAGTTGCCCAGACAGCAGCTCCCACTTCCAGCTCATCTTGAGGGCCTCCTAATCCTTACACAGCACATGGTAAAGAGGAGACCTATGTCCCCGTCACATAGGGTGGAATATCCCCATTCTGGACTTTACCTATCCAATTTCGGTGTTTTAATAGCCTTAAAAGGAACAAGATCTCATTTATGAATCGTATGGGATAGAACAGAATCCAAACGGACTTTGAGTGAAACTAATTATATATCAGGCTAAACGTTATCTTTCAAATAATGTATTTGGTATACTTAGTGAGCCATTCATCTCAGGATATCATCATCATTTCCTGGAAGGCATCTTACCCTCCCTCTAACAGACAAAACGCTGGCAGGACAGCAAGAGCAGACAGCACAATGAGCCAAATGATTTACTTTAACTGTTGTGAGTCAGGAATAGCCAGGAAAATTCAAGATTTCCTACATCTGTTCTCTTATCTCTCCCTGCTTGGGCTTTTCTATCCTTCCATCAGACAGCAAATAGTCAGGAATCCTTAAACATCTGTTGATAGTAAGTAACATGAATACAGGCAGCTAGAACAATGAAGCAGACCTCCACCAACATAAAAATTTTGGTTGATAACTTTACCTCGGGAGAGACAAGCACTACCACAGGTGTGACTGCATGCTGAAGTCAGTCAATACAGCAGACTGCCATCCATGTTCACCTATAGCAAACATGTCCATCCCTCTTACGTACGTACCAATATACAGTTGCCACTATCCCTTACGAGTTGCAACTGTTCCCATTACTTTCTTGCCCCGTGAACAACAGCAGATATGTGCTTGACAACAAATGTGCCTCAGACACGGCTAGGAAAGCCACACACTGCTTGAGGCACTGGCCTGCCCTGCTGGGGGCGACTGCATAACCATAAGCAGTATGAAGACACAGGAATGAGGACTCTAACCTCAGGCAGGCCCTTGGTGTCCTGCTGTGGCTGCATTACTGCAGGTTTGCAGTGTGACAGTCCATGGTTGGTAGCTGCTGCTTCCCTTACACTGACATTTTTCCCCAGTGCCCTGCTGGTCCTCCTGTAGTGTGAGGGTTTCCCACCCCACTTCTTCCATTAGTGTTGCTCATCCATCTCAATTTATTTCTACATTCACAGTGTGCTAACGCTCCTGTCACCCTAACAACATCATAGTCTTGTATATGATATTCTTTTCCCATCCCACAGAAGGCAAGTTTATTTATTTATCTGTGAAAGACAAGACAGCAAGAAAGGGCTACCAGTCCCTGGAAAAGACCTGCAGCTGCCTGAAAAAGCTACGGGGAGCAGGCTGGAAGCCTGGCAGCAATCCACTTCTCCCTTTAAAGCTGAAAAGTACTTTTTTTCCTTTTTCTCTCCACTGGCACTTTTTCCTCTACATGCTAAATGAAAGTTACAATTCAATTGCCTTTTTGGATCCTTCTCCAGCTCTACTTCTGTTCTTTCCCAACTGAATAACTGTTCTCTCTCACTCCCTTTTCCCCTCTGCTTTAAGCAGGATCAAGGATTGAACATGTGGTGTTCACTGACCACTGCAATTAACCTGAGCCAGAAATATTAAGTCAATACATCTGCTCTCATCTCTTCCCCATTGTTTCAGCTTCATGGAAAGCATGCCCTGAAGGAGTATGCCAGCCATATCTTTACTTCAAGTGTCTGACACAGACAAAGCAGCTCCCCGAAGACACAGCTCCATGATTATTTGTGGTGTATGCATCCAGCCAGCCTCTCCTTACAATACCCTGTGCACAGCCCCCTGCAGTTCATGTGCCAGTCCCACTCCACATACGCTTTGTGTTACATGTTTTCAGGGCAGCACCTTTTTAAAGAAGGTGTCATCAAACCAGGGAGTCCCACCAACCTCTCCCCATGTAAGCCTATTTGAAAAGGCAGCACTGATTGAGGCATCAAGTTCAATGGCAGTGTACAATGAACACTTGCTGTACAATTTAACTATGGAGTAGGTTCAAGTGGCAGAAAAACACCACTGCTGTGTGATCTGTGCTGTTCTCTCTTCCCACGTATTCAGCTAT